ATCATCATGATAGAGAGTCGATGAAGGTTGGGACAATACTCCAAGTCGTGCAATATTGTTCTGGGCGAGGGTAAGGGAAAGTTCAAGCCTTGGCCCCACTAACAGTACATGTCTCGCGCATGGAAAATACGGAGCATATGACTTTCAGGCTCGAACATTTTGAGTGAACACTCAGCTAAGCTTTCGAGCCCGTAGATATTGTAGAGAATTAGTGTATCCAATATGGGAAGATTGAGCGACTCCCATGTGTACGTTTTGGAAGATAAATTTTCAGCATAAGTAGTGATAAAAATTGTGTACACTCGGGTTAGATTACTTACTTATCAAGTCACACGAACATCGAACATCGTTCCAGACTCGGAGTAAGTTGGCATCATAAAGTTAAAGTTCACCGAAGAACTCCGAGGAAACGCAGTCGGAAAACACTGTCACGGGCCTTGTCATGGGCGAATAGAAATTATCAAGCGCCCTTGCATACTTCTCGCGCCTACTATGCAATGAATCCGTTGTTCAAACTTCCACATGCTCGGAGCACCAGCAGACTCATTTCTTTTGCTTGCGACGGCTGCAATTGTGAGCTTCAAATTCCTGAATACCATATATATACAACAACTAAAAACCAAACACAGGCCACTCATCTTTGGTTCAAGACTCACGAACCGGCGTCTTTTGCACCCATCTATCTTGCGGTTTTGGGGATCCCAGCCTTGCCGACTTTCATCCTAAGCCATCACGTCGCTTCGCCCGTTTATGCAGTCCTCATAGCATATCCCAGTTTCTATGCTCTTGTTCTACTTTCAATTACTCTGTATCGGCTGTCGCCTTTTCACCCACTTGCTCGATACCCTGGACCTACTATTGCTAAAGTTTCAAAATTGTGGACGGTTTGGATGTCATTGGATGGGAAGCTGCCGCAATATTATAAGAAGTTACATGAACAGTACGGTTCAATTGTTCGAGTCGGTGAGTTAAGAATACTCCGAGTCAAGCTGTCCCACGGAACTGACAGATGTCGTGTTGCAGGCCCGAATGAAATATCAGTTGGGGACAAAGATCTTTTACCCTTCATCATCGGTGCGCAAGGCATGCCTAAGGGTCCCCGTAAGTTGGATTAACGGAGATGCGTATAAAATGCAACTCACAATGCAGCGTTCTCATTGAACCAGTCTGGGAAGGTAGGATCACTCCCAAGAAAAACCCCGGCAGCTTCAATCTAATAAATACCCGGGATCTATCACACCACGCTCAACTACGAAAAACTTGGAACAGAGCATTTGCCGATGAACCTTTGAGTGATTATAGGGAGATTTGGATTCGTAACGTTGAGGTTTTCATGGGTGAGCTAGAAAAACAGTGTGCTGCCGGTGGAGGTTACGGAGTATTGGATGTTGCTCGAAGTATCAACCTGTTCCTGTAAGTGAATATCTTGTATGCAGCAGACAGGTCGGAGAGAAATACTAATTCAGAATGCAAGGTTCGATTTTATGGGTGATTTGGCGTATGAACAAGTGCTTTCTTACAAACTATCACTGGTGCTCATGTTGTGTCATTTTAGATTTGGAGCCGACTTTGACGTTCAACATAGTAATGATAAACTGGGCTTGCAGGCAAATATGGAGAAGGCTTTATTGTGTGTATCGATGCATCATTAACACATTTATGATCTAGCAATCAGCTTCAACTAAGCTTTCTCTTTCTAGCGTTCCCGCCTTGACAATGCAGGTACCTTGGTCTGCTCCAATTTTCCGAGCATTTCCGAGCCTCAGTGAAGCAATGCGTGATTTTGTGGCTTTTGCGGCAGAGTGTGCCAAATCAAGGGCTTCAAGCGAGTCACGAAAGGATCTCTTCTACTATCTGGTAGATCACTTTGCTTCCTTCTGAATTTGTGGAACTCATGTGGCAGTTTTTGTCAAGATGTCCAACACAGAGCAAATTCCTCCAGATGCTGTTTTTCCCTTCCTTGTTTCAAATTCAGTCATGGCTATAGTAGCTGGGTCCGACACGACAGCTTCGGTTTTGTGTAATGCAATTTATTATCTCCTATCAAATTCCAACGACTTGCGGAGGCTTATAGCCGAGATTGAAGAGTTTTTCCCGGGCACACGGAACTCTACTGTGACAAATATTGATACGGCAAAGCTTGCTGATATGACCTGGCTCAATGCAGTAATGTGAGCAGATACGTTTTATCAGTTCTCTCGTCGTTGACATTCATTTATTGCAAAGCAACGAAACACTACGGCTTCAACCTCCTGTTCCGAGTTCAATCCAAAGGGCACCAGCTTCTGGAAGTGGGGGAAAGATGATGGGGCCTCAGTAAGTCACGTCCGATGATTCTTTGACTCATTTATTTGCAACTTAGCTGTACATTGACACAATTACCATAGTTTTATTAAAGAAGGCACCTCCGTCGTTGTGTCCACCTATGTTATCCACAGAGACCCTCGATACTTCTCTCCTAACCCCGATAAATTCTGGCCTACGCGATGGCTGAACGACAAAAGAGCAAATAATGTCACTGCTTTGGAGACAACTGCGTTCATTCCCTTTTCGCTAGGTCAAGCCAACTGCGTCGGCAAGCGTTTGGCTATCTTTGAATTGCAGTATGTACTTGTTTTGCTTTTTAGTCGATATGAGATCTCGTTTGCGCCGGAATGGGACCAGGGGGAGTGGGAGATGGGGTTGAAGGATCGGCTGGTTCTTGTGAAGGATAGGTTGATGGTTGAGATGAAGGTGAGGTCATATCCAGGTTGATTTGTTGAAGTTAGAGTACATTTTAAATTCATCTTTGACCCTATATGAAGTACTTTTCCAAGAGTGTGCGCAAAGTAGCTACTAGTTTGTGCATGTACTTTGATGTACTTTTTCCATTTAGTGGTCAGATTCAGCAGATTTTTTCCTCTTTCTGGCAAGGGGTGGTCGGGCCGTGAACCCGTGATATCGGGTTGGTTGGTCGGTGTACTGGTTGGGAGTCTTAAAAATCTTTTAGATGGTCCTTTTTTGGCTTAAAACTATATGGAAAATGAACACAGCCAGTACCTACTCACTGTCAGGCCTTCAATGATATGTTAAAGAGTGCTCCAGCCTCTGGAAGGAAGGAAGGAAGGAAGTTTATTACACGGCATGGTCCAAATACTGAACGCCGGCTCCGGCAGCATAAGCTGACACGGGGCCCAAACACCGAACAACGACGAGCTCGCAGTCTGCCCGGTGGGAGCTGCTGTAGATCGTTGCCCTAAGTGCGGGGGCTGTTTTACTACACTATATAATACAGTACTACAGGTGACTACATTACTTCAGTGCTCATTGAATGCTCAGGATACCTGGTTGCTTTGAGTGTAGATGGAGACTTAAATATTTATAAGGTCTCTCTGGGTCAGTATTATGGTATGTATAGTAAGTCACCAAAACTATAATCCAAGTGTCCAGAGATGCCAGTATATACCACACGCGCGAACAATACCATGAAGAGCGTGGGAGTGTAAAGGTGATGGTGTGACATGTGTGACATCAAACGAATCGCCACAGATCGCCACAGAGATTCAGAACAGTGGGCTCGAGGATGAACAACATTGTTTACTGCTTCTAAAACTGAGCAGGGTATTAATACATATGTTATTTACATCTGTGTTAAGTTTGAAGAGATTCTGAGCCTTGGAATGGGCTGGATCGTCTCGACGAGTTTGGATGACTTTCGTCATTTTTAATCTTTAATCATTTGGGCTAGTCATGTATTTAGGGTGTGCTTGTGGGTATTCTAGGCATTTATACACTTATTAGAGAGCTGTCTTTAGCGCAATCTCGTTCAGTGTGCCGTAGTCTGGAATCCAATCACTTAGAGTATGTAACAAGGTATGTAACGGTCCTCCGGCCCTACTGCCCATTACAGTATCACTTACCTGTCATTCTGGCCATGTATGATGATCATATGCACCGTAACTAGTTACTATATGGCACATTGATATAGTTTCAACTTACAGTGCAGATCTGGCTAATTTCGGGTTCACAGCCCGACCAAACCACGACCCATCATCAAATTCACAGTCCAATTGACACTAGCATTCTTGGCATCTCGGCCGTTCTTTGTATTATTCCAACAACAGCAACTCAAGTGAGCTTCAAGTAAAATAAAATTCATTACTTTGATTTAATTCATTTGAGCCACCTGCTTGACCTATCTGCCTTCAAGAGACTTCAGCCACTGAAGCTATGCTAGCCTAAGCCCAGAGGGGGTCATTTCCTGATGTACTTATGACAAAAGTTATGAATTTGAAAAAGACTGGAAAAAGATATCATATCATATATTATCTGTGGCAGATGACCTTGGTTGATACTGAACTAATTAGTAATAACAGATTTTAATCTGGAATCAACCTGGAATTAACCTGGGATCATTAAGGAATGGGACAAAAGCAGACAAAGGCTGCACTGTGGAGAGGGCCAAGGGTCTGTTGAGAAAACAAGCAGTGGGGAAACCTCTATGGGTATTAAAAAAAAGGCTGAGTGCTTAGTGCCACCGCATCGACAATGTTTGCTTTTACCCAAAGATTGTCCAAAGTAAAAAAATGGATGAAGTTCCCACTGCCCCGATAACCAGAAAGAGGTCCAACCAGGACTTAAACCTGGGTCACGGGAACTAATGAAACTGATTTTGCTGCCCATATCAGAATCCTGTGTGATAATTGAACCTCTACACTATGGGACCTGTAGCTACAAGGCATTGTACATGCATGATATTCCTCAGTTATTACCTCAAACTGAGGAATAGGACAATGGCTTGCTCAGAATCTTGGATTCTGCAACCCATCTGCAAACCAGGTTCCAGAGTGTTGGGACAGTATTGTTGGAGGGTGTGTTGAGGGTGTGTACCTGGTTTGAGTGTTCAGATGTCTACATCTTCAGGGTTGAGCGGCGCTGATGTCGCATTGGACAATGTTTACCCAAGGCAGAGAAAATGAAAGACAAAAAAAAATATGTGAAAATTTGCATTCCTGGATCAGAGGTCCAACCAGGACTTGAACCTGGGTCACGGGAATTGATAACACCACCTTTGTTGTGGATACAGATTATCAGAACCCCGGGTGATAACCTCTACACTATTGGACCAGTAGCTGCAAGGCATTGTACATGCATGATACCACTTCAAACTTCCAAACTTCTATTGTACATGCATGATATATGACTTCAAACTTCCAAACTTATTGTTGAGGAACAGGACAAAGGGCTTGGCTCAGAATCTTGGATTCTGCAACCCAGGTATCAGAGTATCAGAATATTGAGTTTTATTCAAGGCATACCCAAGGTTGATCCAAGGCGGAAAAGCCAAAGGACAAAAAAAAAGAGATTATATTGATAGCCTGATTAGAGGTCCAACCAGGACTCGAACCTGGCTCACGGGAATTAATGAAAAGGCCACGGCTGAGCCACAGTGAACTCATCAGAATCCCAGGTGATTGTAGAAACAGCGGTCAGTCAACACAAGGTCGACAGCATACTCACCTTAGAGTGTAAGGGTGTTTACAGGAGTTGTAAGATTTGCTTGTAGAGAGCAGAACAAGTGTCCAGATGAATAGTAGGATTCTTGGTTATTGTTACAGGAAAATATCTACAGTATTTATACTACAGAATATAATAAACCCAATAACAATGTATGAGTCTACTTGAGTTGTACTGCTAAACATAGTGCATATACATGTGCATAATGTACCCTAGAAGATGGAGTCCGTATGGTAATTCTATAGGTATTGTTCATAGGTACTGCAAGGCAGCGTACAAGCTATGTATCATAAGACTAATAGCGAATGGCATAATTGACTACATCTATACGATCCTGTGTAGAGGCTGTGTCTAGTGTTTGAGGGTGAGTTTCAACATAGCATATATCGACAGTTCATTGATCGTATAGCAAGTGCGTCTAGTCGACTCACATTACTGATTAGATACGACTCATAAGCGGTAATCTAGTTTCAACACTCCCCCTTGCTAAGAATTGTAGCTAAGAAGTATAATTTTTATCGACTTTAAACGGCATTATAGTTTATAGTGTTAAACTTTACAACCCCGGACGGCTCCACAAAAGAAGACAAGCAAGCAACAATGATGTGGCAAGAGACAAAACAACAATTTATTAAGCGCCTGTCAAGATACATGTGATCTGATGTAACTATCTAATCAATACGGTGAGACTCATACCAACACACCCCTGAGGCTCACCCCCGAAAATGACAAAAACATAACAGATAGAATGACATACGCATAAGGATGAAGATAAATAAAAGCCAACAAGGACAACGCAATGTTCATGGTCCCCTGTCATAAAAAAGGCAGTAGCAGTTCCAAGATGTGAAGTGTTGGTTGTGCAAAATGGGTCCTCAAACCTCAAATACAGCCAACCACAATAGACAACTGAATTGGAGTCACAAATGAGAATCAATTCCCCCTTGACTCCAATACCCAAAGGAAGAGATACAATCAAGAAACATGACAGCTCAGCAGTGAGCACATCAATTTGAGTGAGTCGAGATTAAGGAAAAAGGATTCATGGAAGAAGTCGGTTTGTGGTGGTACAAGCCAGATTGGATGATTCATCAACACAAGCGGAAAGTTTCCTGCCAACAACGTCACAACGTAGTACACCTGAATGCAAGTTCCACATTCAACAACTCAAAAGATCCCCCACAAACTGAGTTGGAAGCGATGAAAGGATTGGATGGAAGGTCCTGGGAGGGTTGGCACAAAGCTGCAAGGCGAGACAGTTTGAACAAACTGGAATGCTGCAAGCAATGCAAGAAAATGGTATCAATAACAGATGGTCCAGAACAAGTAGTAGATCCACAAATGCTGAAAGAGCCGATAGGGCACCAATGAACAGAAGAGACAGTGGATGGTGATGGGAGGAAGGGTTTAGGTGGCTGATTGTGACAGCAGACAATAGGAATAGACCTAGGTGGTGGCAGTTAAGCAGCAAGGCAGTGGCTAACACTTGCCATAACCTGTTAAACTTTACAACCCCGGACGGCTCCACAAAAGAAGACAAGCAAGCAACAATGATGTGGCAAGAGACAAAACAACAATTTATTAAGCGCCTGTCAAGATACATGTGATCTGATGTAACTATCTAATCAATACGGTGAGACTCATACCAACATATAGACATATTGCACAGTCTATAGCGAATCAATTAAAGAGAATTCCAAGACTGTTGCGGAATTTCTGAAATTTGACAAGTGCAAGGTTCTTCGTGAGAAGATCTGCAACATTATCATCAGTAGGAACATAGAAGAGTTCTATTTCTTTTGATTCAATGCGTTCTCTGATATAATGATATCGTATATCAATATGCTTGGTTCTTCTTTCTTGTACAGGATTAGATCCCAGAAAGATTGATCCTTGATTATCACCACATAAGGGCAATACAGCGATAGTAATTCCAATCTCAGAAAAGAGAGACTTGAGCCACATAAGTTGTCTACATGAATCAGATAAAGCCATGTATTCAGCTTCAGTCAATGAAAGAGCAACTGTTTTCTGTTTATGAGAAGTCCAGCAGATTGGACCTGTGGCAAGTTTGATAATCATCCCAGTATGGGATTTTCGATCATCTGGATCTGACGCCCAGTCAGAATCACAATAGGCTAAGAAGCCATGGTCAGATCTACCATCAAAGACAAGTACATAAGTAGAAGTCCCAATTAAGTAGCGCACAATGTAAAGTGCTTTGGCCAGGTGGTCTGGGTTTGGATTTGCCGAATACTGTGAGAGTTTTATAACGGCATAAGCAATGTCGGGTCGGGTGCCTAGCATCAGATACAATAAAGATCCAATTACACTTTGGAAGCGTTGTCTAAGTTTGGCATCTACACGACCAGTGTTTGCACGAGGAACCCAGGATGAAGGTAATGGGGTTGGGGTGGCTTTGGCATTAGTCAGTCCAAAATGTTCTATGACCTTTCGAAGATAAGGTTGTTGGTCAAGTGTTAAGACACGTTTGGAACGATCCCGTGTAATCCGCATTCCAAGGAACTCAGTTGGTTCTCCTAGATCACGACATTCCCATAATTTCATAAACTCGTTTTTCTTTTTAAGAACAAGATCTTTGTCCTTGCCAAGAAAGAGTGCGTCATCAACATAGATGATGGCAGTTACGGTTTTGCCATTTGATTTAAAGACGTATACACCAGCATCTGAAGAGCAGCGCTTAAATCCCAATTTTCCCATGGAGGCGTTACATTCCTTCCACCAGGATAAGCTAGCTTGTTTCAGTCCGTATAATGCACGATGTAACTGCCATACTTTTGGTGTGCCTTCTTTAATGAAGTCTTTAGGTTGTTCCATGTAGATCTCTTCATCTAGCTTGCCATAAAGAAAAGCCTGTTTGACGTCAAGAGCCTGGATTTCCCAGTCCTCTAATGCGGCTAAAGCTAGAGAGTTCGTACAGTTTCAAACCGGGCGACCGGTGAGAACAACTCATTATAATCCACACCTTCTACTTGTGAAAAACCTTTTGCTACGAGTTGGGCTTTATAGCGACCGTCAGATTTTTTAGTAAAAACCCATCGACAACGGATAGGTTTGCGACCTTTTGGTAGATCAACTACTTCAAAGACATTTCGTTTCTTCAAACCATCGATCTCATCTTTGCATGCTTGATCCCATTTCTTTCTTTCAGCAGATGGTAAATGACGATATGATGTTGGAGAAATCCAATTATCAGGATTATTCCTAGCGGCTTCGTGTTTAGCCGGTATCATTTCACTGTCAAGATCTGTGATAAAAGATGATTCTTCTAGAGAATCGGAGATTGCTTGCGAAAGAAGGTATTTTTGTAATTCAACTCCCCCTTCCTGAGCTAGTTTAGTCAGAAGTGCTTCCTCTTCTATATCAGAATCCGGATTAGCGCCTGGAGGTGGCGGTGTGACCATACGGTCATCAGGATTCAATGGACGTGGTGGTGGAACCGGTGGCGGAACTTCATCAGGAACTATATTGCGAGCAGGCACAAGTCCACGTCTAGCGTGTCCAAAGCGCTCAGCACGTTCTTCACAATCAGCTTGTCGGCTCCAAGTGCCAGGCGTGGGTATCATGCCAGGCGCAAGGGTGCACGACGTTCTCTAGTGGGGTTCACACGTTTCCATGCTTCAACGTCTTCGGGATGGTAGCTGAATGGATTAGGATCGGGAGCAGGTGGTGAAGGGTCTCTTGCTTGAGGTGGAGGGGTGGGTGATCGAGATGGTACCGGAGGATTGGGATTTGGAGCATCATCATCACCAGGCAGATCTGGATCTGGGCCAGCTGGTGGACTGTGCGGTCCATTTTCCGGTTCAGTAAACGGTTGTGGTTGATCTTCCGGGAATTCCGGATCAAATGGAATGTCTGCACCATTACCATTTGAAGGTTGCGAAGGTTTCACAGGTGTGGGGCAACAGGTATAGCGGGTTTTACTCCAGAATCAGATTCGGATTTGCACCGTGGAAACCATTTCTCATAGAAAGTTGCTTGTGCAGCATGTACTACGGAATTATCGCTACGCATGAATAGATATCCTTTGCTTCCTTGGTCATATCCAATGAAAGTCATCGCTCAGAGTGTGGGGATTGTTTATTTTTTCGCTTGTCAATAGGAATAAAGACATAAGCGCCACAGCCAAAGGTTCTGAAGTACGAGACATCAGGTTTCTTTTTGAGAAAACCTTCAATTGGTGTCTTCCAGTTCAATCGACGGATCGTGTGCGGTTATACACATGTACTCCTGTGGAATATGAGAATTGCCACCAGGACTCCGGGCAGCATGCATGGTGTCGCATGGCTTTCGGATTTTCAATACCTCAGACTTGAGAAAGGAAGTAAATTCCTTTGAGATGAGTTCTCCCCCTCGATCAATGCGGAACGCACAAGTTTGCGTCCAGTTTGTTTTTCAGCCCAAGATTTGAAATCCTTGAAGGCTTGAAACGCTTCTGATTTTTGTCGCAGCATGATCGAAGTAGCATGAGAAGAGCAGTCATCCAGCAGAGTGATCACAATTTAAATTTATGATAAGAGACGGTTGGAATTTCAACCAAATCTGCGTGAATTAAATCCATAGGGTTGGATGCTCGTTTCTCGGACTTA